TCTAATAACAGGATAAGAATAAACTTCTAGAGTCTGAAATCTGTAATTGCCTGGGTAACGGTGAACAAACTGAAGCCTAATCTGGGAAGACAGAGGTGCTCCTGGTCAGCTGCAAAGCAGATCAGGGAACAGGATGGGATCACACTCTCCCTGAAAACTCAGGTTTGCAGCTTTGATTCCTGGATTTTGGCATTGGCTAGGAGTGTATTTGCATATTTACAGCTGGTGAGTCTGCTGTGCCAGTTCCTCAGAATGTTTGACTTGGCTACAGTGACAAGTTATATCCGATTAGGATTACTGCAACATACTCTACATGGGACCACCTTTTCAAAGATGGTTCAAAATACAGCAGCAAGAACGCTGGTTACAGAAACCATACAACTGCCTTGTTACAAAAATTCCACTGACTGCTGGTCAATTTCTGGGCCCAATTCAAAGTACTGGCTGTATGCTAAAAAAGCTCAATATGGCTTGGAGTCATTATCTCCTCATATAACCTTCCCAGTGCTTGAGATCTTCAGGAGAGAGCCTTCTCTTGGTCTCACCAACATCACAGGCATGTTCTGTGGTAGGCTCAAGATAGCAGTTTGGTTGCTGGCTCCTGTCTTTGGAATGCCCTTCCTATGGAAATGCATCCTTCCTAATGAATACATTAGTGAAGATATGTACACAAATGTATAATGTTATGGGGAAAGGTGCATGAAATCACCGTGAATTTGTATCTGGCTGCGGAACTAGTGGCTGGCAGTTTGATTTCCCCACTGTGCCTCCAGAGAGAAGAGCCAGCCTGTATAAGCCTTGGACAAAGCCTCACAGCCCCTGGGCATCCACAGAAGAAGAGAATAGCAAACCATTTTGGTGTATTCTCTACCTAGAAAACCCTGGAAACAATTGCCCTAAGTCAGAATAGACTTGATAGCATGGAATTTTTAGTATTATTTAAAACAGCTGGAGAATGATAAGGAAACTCAGACTGTCATTTGAAGCTAACAGAGACTGGATATAGATTGATTTTGATATCCCTACTTCGAATAATGTCCAGACTGCAGGTGGCTAGAACTACATTACCAAATAATGCAGTAATGTGAATTAGCAGAGAATAAAGCTGACTGTTTTAAATGGCTTTTAAGTTCTGTCTGCAATGAGGAGGAGCTTCTCTTTATACTTTCTAATATATGCCTCTGCAAAGAACCCAACCAAAAACGTATTTTCCTTACTTCGACTTTAGTTAGTGATAATGATCTTAAAAGAGTTCTTGTCTGACTGTAAGTTCTTTCACTGCCTCCTCACTAGAGAGTTCTATCACAGCTTCCCATACTGACGTGTCTTAAAATTGGTTCTAAGTGGTAGCCAACACAAGGACTTCCCTGGACTGACTTTTATGCTGACGCGAAGGTTATTCTTCTGGGGAAGAAACAGTGACAGCTCCCAGATCTGAATTTGCTGAGTTGCATTTCAGCTTATTATATAGGCTGGTGAGTGGGGGGGCCGCTAGGGGACATATCAAGCCGATTCTGATTAAATTACATTGGTTACCAGTTGCTGCTCGAACCCAATTCAAAGTGCTTGTTATGACATATAAAGCCCTAAACGGCTTGGGCCCTGGATACCTGAAGGACCGCCTCCTTCCATATGAACCTACCCGGCAGTTAAGATCTAACCAGGGGACCCTTTTGAAAGAGCCGTCCCTTAAGGAGGTAAGAGAGATGGTTTGTAGACAAAGCGCCTTTTTGGCAGCTGCCCCCCTAGACTATGGAACACCATCCTAATTGAGATTCGTCTGGCGCCGACGCTGATGACATTTCGGTGCCAGGTCAAAACCTTCCTGTTCCAGAAGGCTTTTAATTGAAATAATATCAGGTGTGGGTCCTGATGGCAATTTTTAGAGTATATATTTTAATTGTTTTATCTTTTTTACTCTATTTTAATTGTTGTAAGCCGCTTAGAGACCTTTGGGTAGTGTGGGTGGCATATAAGTTAAATAAATAAATGAAACAGGAGTAACTTTGGGTTTATGTGTATAAATGAGAATAGCAAAGACCCACAAAGATGAAAAAAAAAATCCTCCTGTCTATGTCTTAGTGGTCAGATTTGCTATTCTCTTATAGAGTTGTCCCTAGGTGTTGGTACGTTTTCATACCTGTATCATAATGGAATTAAGTGGCAAATTTCTTTGTCCTTGGGCTCTTAAGAAAGACTACAAAAAGCTGATTCTTTCAAAATCCATATAAGTTACTATGGAAGATACCTCTGCAATTCAAACAAATACTATAGGATGAAACATACTGCACAGTAGATGGGTGCTATTAATTCAATCATGTTTCAAGATGCGTCATTTCATAAAGGCAGCTGGTAGAAACACCAGGCAAAGGGAGAACAGCCACAACTCCTTCATAGACTTCATTCTTACTTCTACTACTCACCCAACAATGTAATGTTAGGTAAAGAACTAAATTCAAAGAAAACATTTTCAAAAATGAAGAAAAAATAATCCTGGTTATGACAATATCTGATATATACACACGGCAGCAGTATATCTTAAACTATGCAGTATCCACCCCCCAGTGTAGATGTAACAATAAATTCTAGTTTGTTTTAAATGTGATGGAAAAGATTCAAACCCTCCCTTCTCCTCCACACTGGAGGAGTAAGGAAGATGGAGGGCTTCAGCTCACGGTGCAGTGCTACTCATCCAAAGTTTTGCACTATATCTGAGGGAGACCCAAGGTTTTGAGATTCTACACACATTATTCTCTCCATGTTATTAAACAGGTTGGTTCACATGAGTGTGCATACAAATCAGTGATATAATAAGAAACATGCTATGCAAAAAAACTGATAACCACGCACCTCTGCAATTTGTGCATAGGTATACTAAGCTGCAACTGAGATTTTCAGCCTCATTTACTTGCAACAAATGACAGATCAAAGGGTACATGTTCTGTGCATGTTATAGTTCTTACTAGCAGCATGAAATGCAAGTGCACTCTTTTGAATAAACATGAGAGAGGGTTCACACAACAACAGCACTGTAGCCATATATATGTTTTTCACTTTAGTTAGATTTTATTTTGTAAAATTAAACATATACCTGCTTCTCCTCCCCTCCTCTCCAAGAAGCAGCATGAGATCATCCACTTCCTCTTTTATTATCATTTCATCAATTTCGGTTAAATTCTGATTAGTCTAAACTCTGGTTCTGAAGTTCCTAGCAGAATTAATGGCAGTGGCCATCCTCTCTGCTCTGCTTAATCTGAGTGTTGTTGCTAGCATGATGTTCCGGTCAAGAGGAACACACAGACGTCAGTGACTAGTTTATTCACAAATATGTGCACCCATGATTTTTCTAGTTGTTGAGAGAACCAATGTGGTCTTCTGTATGTTGTTGCATTTAATGCTACATTGTTCATGCAAGGAGGTTGCTTAACAACTTCAGTAACATCTGCATTAACTCTACTGTAAAGATTCACAATGGATTTCTTATCTTCTTAACACTTATGTGGGGGGAAGAGGACTGCTGTAATATCCAATCAATTCCCTTCTAGGCACATGTACCATAAACTCCTGTATTTATTCTGTATTTGTGTAGGCTGTCCCTCTGTCTTTGATTCAACTGCAGAGAATTCCGAATCATGGCTAAAGGGGAGCATCTTATACACACATCCATGTCTTCACCAAAAATGAATGGATAGTGGCAAGGGTGAATGGTCCTGTTCTTACTTTCCATATGACTCCTACTCACAGGGAATGAATGCCTGGAGAAGGCCCATGTATATGGCAAATGCAAACATCAGTTACTGCTCTTACCACATGGGGAGATATCAAAATATGGTGTTGTATAGAAACACAACACAAATGCTTCATAAAGTCTACAATACATATCTTTATTTCCATTTCCCTGTGTAGTATTGTGTATAAAGCTTTTGCAGTACAGTATATGTGTAGTGCATGGATAAAGCTTGCACCATGGCCTGTACCAACAGTATACAAAAGAAAGCTGACATTGCAGCAGCACAGGTTCCTCCCTCTGAATAAATCATGATACTATGATATAATACACTTCCATAAGTTATCTTAATTGCAAATTTCTTCTTTTCAAACAATGAAGAACATTTTTGGCAAATTCTGAGGCAGCAAATGGCAAACACTTTGGTGGTAAAAGGCTAAGAGATTTCCAAAAAGTTGTAACAGAAAATAAAAATAGCAGTCATTTTACAATCCACAGCTCTTGATGAAACAAATTTGTCAATTCACCCCTTCCATCTTTTTTAATTATGATGGCATGAATAAGATAGCTATGTCTCTAAAATTACTAAACAAGTAGTACAATGTACCAGACCTCCAGTGTGGAGTTTTGTTAACTGTCTCGTATAAGTACATATAGTTCTTGCCTATACTATTTTTGTCTGGAAAGTTATCATCACTTTAAATTTTAGAGCAGAAGGAGCTTGAATATGAGCAAGAAGATGCATGTGAAGAAGAAATATTACTCTGGCCGAGAAACTGAAAAATTAGTCATGCAAGATACACTTGAAGGACAGAGGTAGCAATTACAAGTACTTAATATACTCCTAGTGAATTTGAATAAGCCTGCTTTCTCCCTCTGGGTTTTTCTGAACTCTTAAAGCCCCTGTGTAGAACACACTTCAAACAGGTAAAAAGAGCTATATGGAAAAGAACTATGCTGTTTTATGAGAAGCTGCTGTGACACATATAAACAAGGACAACAATAAGCACTTCCTTGGACAGTCCATACTCAACACGCTTTGACAGCACTGACAATTATTTTTGTAATATTAATGTTCTTTGGTGGTATTTAAAAAGAAACATGCACACAAATCCACTGCTAAGATCCCACTTACGTTCTGTGCCACCAAAGAGATTAAAAAATGATGATTTTTTTTAATGATTGCACAAATTAACAGCGATAAACACAGAAAGCTTTTTCTCCTCTGGAGAATGCTGCCATTATTTTTTTGAAAACTCTAAGAAAGACATACCTGTTGGAATAAAAGCTGTGTGTTGCTGCAACTGTGCACTAGCAAGAGCCTGTTGGTAGTGCAAGAAACTGGGATTAAAAACAGCACTGGCACCATTGCTTTTCTCAAGTGCTTGTCTCTTTGGTAAAGGATGAAGTACACCAGGAGGAAAGGCCTGTAAAGGAAAGTATAGTTTTATGTAGTGAGGAAAAGAGAGCTCACAGCAACTTGATTTATTTTCAAATTAAATATTACATTTTTTAACATGTAAAAGATGCCTTGCCATGCACATTAGTTCAAAACAGCAACAGGGTCAAATGGATAGCATTTTTGTTATTGATAATAAATGCATGGCACAATTAAACTAAAATTATAGCACCAAAGTAACTAAACTGAAGCAAAAACACAAAAAAAGCTTTTCAAGACAAAAGGGATTTTAAGGGAAACAAAAGGTTTCTTCACAAAGGACTAAAACAACAGGAGAAAAACAGCACTTGTACTTTATAAAATTTAAAATGGTGAATCTATATAAACACCTATATACTATTTTATATAGACTGTTAACTATATTAATTCATACAAAATTAGTGAGGTTTCTTTTTTCACTTCAACTTTAAATACATTCAAAAATGAAAACTTGTTAGGAAAAGAAGTTAAGCTGCTTTGCAATAATATATGTGAAACTGAGACTGCTAAATACTGAAGTTATTTTATGTAAAATTAATGAGATAGTTCAGTTAACATTAAAATTACAGTATTTGCATTTTGGAAAAGCTACATGCAAAGCAAAAGGTGAAAGGTCAAAGTACCAGGTCTACAGTTGCCTCGAGAGGTCGCTTCATTGCTTTGGCAGTCGACTGAGTCTTTTAATAACAGGCAGCGAGCACATGATGGCAGTGGGCCAATGGGATTCAAGCGAATTAACATACAGGTAAACAGCAAGCAGAGGTGCATCATGGGAACGGCATTGCATTGTGGATAGGTGAGAAGGAAAAAAATATTCTGAATGCAATATACAACATACAGAACACTAGGCATGCACAACAACAAAAATGTTTTGTTTTCTAAAGAGATGAATATTACATCTTGAATTAGTACTGAAGCAAAAAATGCATCTACTATACCTTAGTTAAAAGCATATAAAAGAGTAAAATATAGATGTTTGAAATTTAGGAAAGTTGAATAAAATAGCAGCTTGCAGACACCATTAAGCATTTATAAGCACCAATAAGCATTTACGCTACACAGGAAAGCATAGTTGTTTCTGGGGCAGAACATTTCTAAACCCAATTTTTGATATGTTAGTTATGCCATGTTAAAAAGCATAAATTAATTTTTCAACACTAACATTCAAAATCTAAAACACGGAAAAGATTTTTAAAAATAATCCAGTCTTCCCCAATGCCATGGTCTCCAGACATTGTTAGCTGTATCTCCATAATTCTGGACCTTTGGCCATGATGGCTAAGACTTATGAGAGCTGCCACCCAAAAAATCTGGAGGGCATCAGTTTGGGGATGCTTGATTTAACAAAATGGGCACATATGTAAACCTAAAGGATTTAATATTATCAGGAAAGGATCTTCCACAAGCAAAAGAGAAATACGAATATGATTTAATTTATTAACTTTTTTGGCTGTTTATTTAGTGGATGTTACTGAAGATCACTAACTTATCAAATTTAGTACGTGGGGTTTGTGTTTTGTTTTGTCTGCTATGCTGGGAACACCCTGGGCTTCTTCCAACGAACTTACTGCATTAAGTAGAGGAAAACACACATATTATTTTACATTAAATATTTTGATGATGATATTTTGGCTTCTTTGTCACACAATCTATATAAGGTTTTAATAAGCTGCAGAAAGTGGAGAAACATTGCTCACTTTGACCAGAACAGAAATTATAGTTGGAACACTACATTGTATAATATTTTTAAAATATTAGTGGAAGTAAAAAAAATCATTAAAAACTGGATTATAATCAGTTAGATATTTGGTCCATCTCAGTCATTAATATTTATTCCATCTAGTGATCAATTTCCAGAATCTCAGGCAGAGTTATTTCTCAGCCCTATTATCCATAGCATATTTATTTGGAGTTGCCAGGGATTGCATGCAAAGCATATGCTCTACCAACAAGCTATGGGCCCTCCATATTTTAGAGTAACAGATAAAGAGGGATAGCTTGACTTCATTCAGAAGGAGAAATAAAAAAATGGGGAGAGAGAAAACTTTTTCATGTGAGTTCTTCATAGCCAAATTGTTCCATGTATCTTAGATGTATTTACACATTCAGCACAATAGGTGTCTCTCAGGAGGTGTCCAAATTCATCGGCATCATAATTCCATGCTTACAACAAGAAGGTAGTCTGATCTTTGCAGTACTGTCAGCACACCGTGCTCTAAAGCAACTGGAACCACTGGCATATCATAGCCTAATACATACTAGTGGGGAAAAGGCTCCGGTGATACCAAGACCAATCACTTGAATGCCTCCAAACATCTCTGGCTGCAATTGTATCACTGCAAGCTGATCAACATTTTGCTTTAAGAAGCAATTCAAAAGGTTTTACGTTGCTGTTTTGCACATAGACCTTCTTTTCTGAAAAACAATCCCTGTTGAAGACTGCCCCCGCCAGATGCAGCCTCGCTGTTCTTTAAACTGCTCCAAGTTCAAATGTTTGTAGGAGCCCAGAGCATTTTAAAGGGAAAATGGCTGTTGGTGTTTGCAAACTGCCTCCCTCCTCCAGTGACTTCCAAAAACAACCTAAGAAACACATGGGTAGATTACGGTACTGAACAGGCTGACTGCCATATACCCAACATCATAATAGAACATAGGCCTCATAATGCCCCTTATTTACATTTATCTCTGTACACAATGCAAATCAAGTCAGTTCTTATTAAAGACTCTAGTCAGGTTATGTGCCTAATGCATGAGCAATACTTACATTTATCTACATTTACTATCACTACACTAGAATTTGAAAAGCACAGCATAAATATTTTAGGTTCATATTTTATTTCTATGAATATAAGGTGAGCTCAAAAAGATCCTGAGATCATTCAAATGAACACTGCACAAATACCATGATTCCCTCTTACATTTAGAACTTCTTTATATGGCTTGCTGTTAGTGACTTAACAAATCTGTATCCTTATCCACTTTTTCTTATCCTCTTTAGTATTTCTCTGTTTACACACAGCTTAAGGAGAGTGTTTCCCTGCAAGAATCAGACTTAATTCGTTTGTTTGAGTCATCATCTGCCATTATACTTCATCCACAGGCAACCTTTCCATGCTGCACTTGTTTTCTGATGACTGAGTGTAATGGGGTTGCCACAGTCAGCACCCTGAGCAGGCCATCTGATCTCACCTAATGCCTTTAGATGGCCTGCTGGACTTTAGGCAGACACTGGGAAAGTTTAGCAGCATCTCATATTTGGGTGCAGGCCAAGGAGATGCTGGAGACAGCAGCACCAGCGCTAACAGGAATGCCAGCAGTGTCTTCACCTGGTGTCAACTCAGCATCTGGGAGAGGGCCCAAGACACATTACAAACCTTCCCTGGAGGGGGCCAGAGGGCATGGATGTGAGCAAGGACTACTGACTGTTCTGCGATTCTTATTCCATCCATTCCAAGTGAAATCAACTGGGGACCACAAGGAGACTCAGCTGTCAGCTCATGAGGGGGGAGTAGTGGAGGGAACTCAGTCCCCTGAGGACAGGACTTGGAGGAAGAAGATTGTTGGTAAAGGAACCAGGCCTGTAAGCCCTATCTCTCTCTCAACAGAATTGCCCCAGCCTTCAGATGTGAAGCCAATGGATACCCACAGAGGTGAGGGGCTATCTACTGCCTTCAAGCAGGCAGTCACCATGAGCAAGTATTCAAAATTAGAATACTACAACACAGTGGTTCAATCATCAGTCCAAATGGAGACTGCAACCAAGAAACTGGAAAAAGACTCAAACTTGAAAGGGCAGCTATGAAGGAACTAGAAATAGACATGGGGACGAATATAAAAATGAATCAAGATATTCATTAAATATCCCTGATTTATCAGATATTTGTTGCTTTGTATTCTTGGGGTCCAGAGACCGCAAAGAATATGAAGCAATGGATATAACCCTTTTATATTCATCCCTTCATTCCCTATCTGCGTATGCCCCCGCGGATCAGCTGTTCCTCGGGGGCATATGCAGAAAGGGGTTTTCCTTTCAGTCGGCTTGCAAAAGCCTGCCCAAACGGAATCCAACCCCCAGGGCTGGGGGGTGGCTTGGTTCCCCTTTCCTCCTCTTCCTATGCCCGCATGGCATAAGAAGAGGAGGGAAGGGATCCCCCAGCCACTGCGAGATTGCTTTGATTCCTGCTTTCCCTCTTCTTCCTATGCCCCTCGGGGCTTAACAAGAGGAGAGGGAAAAGGAGCAAAGTGGTGCGGGATTGCTTTGATCCCTGCTTTCCCTCCTCTTCCTATGCCCCATGGGCTTAGCAAGAAAAAGGGAAAAGGGATCAAAGTGATCCCACACCGCTTTGATCCCTTTTCCTCTCCTCTTGCTAAGCCCCGTGGAACACAGCAGGAGAGAAAGGGAAAAAAATGACCTGATGAATGACAAATTGATTAGTTGTTCGTTGGGTCACTGGTGGGCAATTCGTGGTTTGTCAAGTTTGACCTCCCATGAACCAAGACAAAGCGCCTTCTTTAGAAATTAAGTAAATTAGATTTAGAAACACTCATCCAGCTGTTCGTGTGACATTCTTGATACTCAGAGAGGGCTGTGTGATTAAATTTGTAAGCATGGTAGTGTTTCCAGATTTACTTCTAAAACTCAGGTCAGTGCAATGAGTTGCTTTTAGGAAAAGTCAAAAGCTCAGATGCACATGCAAAAATGCCTCCCATGTAGTTAAATAAGTTCTTGGGACTGTGTCAAGAAGTCAATACATGAAGCTACAGAACAACCTCAAAAATAAAATGTTCTTTTTTTGCATTTTGCTATGAAGAAAAATGAAAGGTTCTTGACGTTACATCTTGATAGAGTGCTACTGTGGCATGACTAACAAAGGCTATTCAGGAAATCATTAAGTTCCAAAGATTCCAACAACCCATCGTCATTCAATTCCTGTTTAAAATTTCTCCCTAAAAAATCTTTGCCTTCATCAGAGGATTACATTATAACTAAGGAAAGCTGGAACATGTAACCGAAACCATGATGCAGAAGGGGAAAGGTTGCAGAGACAGAGCACATGAGACTCCAGGGCAGCAACTTGCAAGGTAAGAGGCAAACAGGACAGAAATGGCCACTGAAAAGTGACAGAGGAGCAATTTACGAGACAGAGGCAACTACGTCTGGAGCAAATGAGATTCCAGAGCAGGCATAGGCAAGATAGGAAGCAAAAAGAGTAGCAACAGCCAGAGCCAGGGACCACCTTTGGAGCAGAAAAAGAAAACTCTGTGGTCCTCTTCAATCCAAATTTTGGATTATGCTTTCAGTCAAGTACAGTATTATGGTTCTGATCCAATAATTACAGCTGGCTCAATGTCAGCTTCTTGGAGTCAGTGCCATACAACTAGATGTAAACATACCTCTGAGGATATCTGAATATGGGGGCAAGGTTCAGCTGCCCCAAATCAATTGCTACACCTCTTTCAAAGAACACCTCATAAGGAAGCAGGAGGAATGCCTGTGGGTCCCAAGTACATGGGTCACACCAGACAATGCACCCCACTTTCACAGTTCCATAATGCTGCCTGACCTTTTTTTTCTTTTTTAAAGAATACTACTAGTAACTGAATCTGGCTTCAAATGGTTAAAAACCCACATGTGCTACCCCAATGCACTCTCTCCCCTCTCTTCTCCCTCCCCAATTCTTTCACACTGGTCTTTCTCTCTTTCAATCCTGGTACTCACTCAACTTGTATTTGTGTTGAATGGGCTAGAACCCTTTGTCTCCAGTGCAGTTTCTTTCTTCTTCCACACCACTCTTTCTTTCTCTTCAGTCTTTCTCTAATGTCTGCCTCCATCGTTGCTCACTCAATCTTCCTCTCTCTCATACCAGTCCTCTTTGCGGCTTCCCAAATTCTAGTTCCCCAAATCCAGACACTTATTATTTGCACATTATGCAGATCACGTGCTGGGCCATGAAAGAACTGACCAGCAGGCCCACCAATTACTGTTCCCTAAAAGCACTCTTTTGGAAGTAATGTTATAGGTGGGAACAGAAGGATGGGTCTTCTTGTACCTTCTACTTATAATTCAGGGTTGCATCATCTGCAGAAATGTGCATTCGGGGATTTCTTGTCTTTACCATCCTTCTTCCTCACAAAACTCTTGTGCCTTTTAAGAAATACTTAATTATACAACTTTCCTAGCTATTGGTATCCCACCAAATTTGGGATCCTGTTTGACACATCTCAGATTACCTGACTGTATCTATGTCCGGCCTCATGCCGGCACTAACCTGCAAAATGGCTCACAGTAAGGGTTACAGTGAAGATGACTGAGATGATATATGGAAATTGTATTAAAAAAAAACCCACAACGAATTGGAAATAACATTTTCCACTTCTGGAAAAAAAACTTCTGAAATGCTAATTACAGTATTAGTAATAACCATAATAGAGTATTACATAATAGTAGCAATGCAGAATTAAATGATGCCTTTCCACAATACTCTTCCTCTGAAAAAAAAGGAACTGTTTTCAGAAACGAACCTAAGGAGTTACTGCCTTTGCACATGCACAAAAGCTTTGATAGAAAGTTACCACCTTTTAAAAAAAGAGAAAACTAAAAATGCAAACCTTTACAGTGGACCCTCTACTTACGGAATTAATCCGTATTGGAACGGTGGCTGCAGGTCGAAAAGTCTGTAAGTCGAGTCTCCATCGACCTACAATGCATTGAAAACTGATTACTCTCGTAACCGGCCGTTTTTGTTCCATTTTTGTTCCATTTTGTTTTTTTTTTTTCTGGTCTGTAGGTCAATTCTCTGGCTGCAAGTCGAACCTAAATTTTGCAGCCAGAGAAGTCTGTAACTCGAAAAGTCTGTAAGTCGAGCCGTCTGTAAGTCGAGGGTCCACTGTACATGACTACCTAAAAAAGAGAACCAATGAATCCAATGGAGTTCATTCCTGGATAAGGGATACAGGAGGCATCCACAATTAAGTATGGCCACTCTGCATTGAAGTGTATGTACCTATGCAGAGCAGAGCTCAATGGATCACTGTAGCATTTTAAATTTGTGAGGTACAAAGATTATGAGGTAAATCATCACCGTCTTAGAACTGCAGAGCTGAAAGGGACCCTACGGATCACTGGGCCCAGTCCCTGCCAGGAAGGCACAGTGAGGAATAAAAAAATCCCAAACTCTGGGCTCTACAGCCAGAGACCTAAGCTATCCAGCACAACTGCGAATCGATTCATTAGCTTAATAGATTGGTGGAAATCCAGCAGTACATCACAACCAGAGTAGAACCAAGGAATCAGTGGAGATTTGGCAAGTCAACACCAATGTAAGGTCCACTGCTTCAATGGGCTTACTCTGGGTGTGACATACTACTAGATTGCAGTCAATGAAAGACATTAGCCAGGTTGTTCCTGGAAAAACACAGTGGAATAGTTTTGCCTCATTTTACAAGGGACGTGGTGGCGCTGTGGGCTAAACCGCAGAAGCCTGTGCTGCAGGGTCAGAAGACCAAGCAGTCGTAAGATCGAATCGACGCGACGGAGTGAGCGCCCGTTGCTTGTCCCAGCTCCCGCCAACCTAGCGGTTCGAAAGCATGCAAATGCGAGTAGATAAAGAGGTACCATCTCGGTGGGAAGGTAAACAGTGTTCCGTGTCTAAAATCACACTGGCCATGTGACCACGGAAAGATTGTCTTCGGACAAACGCTGGCTCTATGGCTTGAAGAGCGGGATGAGCGCCGCCCCCTAGAGTCGGACACGACTGGACAAAAAATTGTCAAGGGGAACCTTTACCTTTACCTTTACAAGCCTAGACATATCAGATATACCTGTGCTATACTGTACAGCTATACCAGTTTCATGTAACTTTCGTTATCATTGATTCACCCTTAGAAGTCCTGGGAATTTGGTCCGGTGAAGCACTTACCATCTTGTGCTAGTGTGCTATATATAGTTCATTCTACCTAACTACAGTTGCTCCGAGTCTTGTTCTACACTACAGAATCAAACTCATTTAATCTTCAAGTACTCCCACCAAATTGCAAATACCAAAATTCCTTAGGAGGCAGCCATGAATATTAAAGGGTTTTGAAAGCAATATAAACACATAGTGGAGATACACCGGTCACTCTCCTTTGCAATGAAAAGCGGCAATCCAGGTCAACTAAACAGGCGCCAGACGGCACGGAGAGAACTTAGATAAAGCTGTGCCAAGTAAGCAAGGTGACAACTGACCAACATTTTATTTCACCCTGGTTCGTCTTTCTCTACAGTCTCGGTGCTGATGGAGCCTTTCCCTCTCCTCACTCTCCTGTACCACTTCCCCATTTTGTAACAGAGAACAGGACGCTCTCATTGTCCCTCTCTAGACTGATAACAGAGAGGTGCATATATGTACACATATTCAGAGTAATGAACAAACCCAGACAGCTACACTGTACAAAAGAGAGAGAGTTGTGTTGTTCCAGGAGAAGTGAAATGGTGCCAGTGGTCCAAAGCTTCAATAGGCTGATTCTAGCCCCCCAAAAGTAAGATGCAAACAGTTGAACTAAAGCTCAAGGATTCCTGCCCTTGAAGAATCTCCTACTCTTGAGCACAGCATCCAGTGACTCAACCAGACACTAGATACTGCAAGCTAAAGGAAGACTGTAATGAATTAAAATGAATTTATACATTTTATGGAAAGGATCCTGAGAGGCACACCTTTAAGACTCCCTTGGTATGCAGATCATGTTTCAGGTATCTAGGTCTTAGGTGTCAGCAGAGGCAGGCAGAACACACACACATGCACACGCGCACACACACACACATTTCAAAAACTATACAAAGTCAGGCACTTTTATCAGCAGATACATAAAGCAGAAATAAAATGACCTGAAATTCATTTGTACCCAAACCCACACTGAGTATCCCCCCCAAAAAAAAACACTGTGTAAGTGTAAGTCTCTGTTGCTAGCAGACTAGATTATCAAAACATCTAAATACCAGAGATCTTTAAACTCCTCACCCGGAGCCATTTTCAAAAACTGTGCCAGACAGGGGACTGTTAGGCCTTGAGCAACCTGAATTCCAAGAAGGTACCTATTGTGCTGAAATGACTGCATGAAGACGAGATGTTGGTTTGCTAGATTTTTCTTTTTCAGCCTTACGGAATAAATAGAAAATCACATTCTGCTAAAGGGTTTAAGCTAAAGTATACTCTTAAAGCAATGCTGGCTTGACAAAAGCAGTAATTAAACAGCCCTGCGTTCTTGCACTTACCATCACTGTAGCAGCTGCAGCAGCTGCCTGAGCTGCCACTGCAGCCTGGTTGGCTTGGTGCTGAGCAGCTTTGATTTTGGCCTGCAAGTGAGCAGGAGGGTGAAAATATTTGCATTTCTCCCTCATGCAGCGCCCCTTTATGTAATCCATACAAACAGTTATGGTGTTGTCATTTGTATCAATCATTGTGCTGTCTGCAGGATGTGCAAAGCGGCAGTCAGTTTCGCCCCGTGCACAGTTTCCTCGCTGGAACTCCCTGCAAACCTGGTGCGCAAAACAATATTCATTATGTATACTAGATCCAACAGGGGAGGGATGGGGCAATTACACACTCAATGAAAGTATACATGTGAAGATGCCACCTTTAAAAGTGTCCTCTAGATCAAATGACCATCGACCTTTACAAGATCTATCTTTAGCCTCGACCTACAACATGGGCCCCACTTTTAGGACTGCCTCTTGTATATACATATCATTTTCTTCGTACAAGCTCTCTTTCTCTCTTCAGATTAGTCCTCTTTTCCCTTTCACTCCCTGAGCTTTTCTCCTCAAAAGACAGTGACTGTGTTTTACACCCCTTTAGGGAAGACACACCTCATGAACAGAACATCTGTGGTCTAGAGTTTTCTTTTCCATGTCAGCAACAGTTTTTTTGAGGTGTTACTTGGAGTAAATGCTTTAAACCTTCATGCTTCCTCACAAATTTCCAAGCCTTTTTGAAGTTGCCTAAATGAGGTTACAAAAACAAGTATGCATATGCATTATCAGAAGTATGATGACATCGTCCTTTGCTGTTCACTGTCTGGCATCAGTCAGAAAAAGGTAGCAGGCATGGAAATAGGTGAGCGTTTTTTTCTTGGCTGAGCACCCAAAAGCAGTACTGAGAAAATCAGGAGGGGAACAAAAGAGAAGGGATCCTCATTTCCTGCTACCCACTGTCTCACCGTAGCCTATTGAGAGCCCTCTTTCCATCACACCTTGGTTCCACACCTATCCATCTTCCACTAGCTTTCAAGTGTGGTGAGTTCCGGATGGATGCTCAGGTTTTCCCCAAAATGTGGCTGCTCAAACTACCATGTAAGCTATCTGGGAGTGTGTCATGCAAGCAACTTTGCATCTTTAAATGATACCAGGCCTATAACTACCCAAACCTTAAAGTACAGTGGTGCCTCGCTTAACGGGCGCTCTGTTTAGCGATGAAACCACATAGCGACGAACTTTTTGCGATCGCAAAAGCGATCGCATTGCGATGTTTCCTACGCGTTTTTTTCGCTTTGCGACAATCAGTTCCCTGTTTCACTTAAACAGCTGATCCGTGATTCCAAAATGGCCACCGGGTAAAAAAATGGCCGCCCGCTGTGTTTAAGGACAGATTCCTCACATAAGAGGCAGCAAAAATGGCCGCCGTATGGAGGATCTTCGCTTTAAGGTGAGTTTTAAGCCCATAGGAACGCATTAAACAGGTTTTAATGCGTTTCTATGGGCTTTTTAAAATCGCATAGCGACGAATATGGAGAGACAGGTAGATCTCAGTAGATGCCCGAATTTTAGAGCAACAGACATGCATAAATATCGTCCGCACCCTATGGCCTACCTATCACCGCTGGAAACGTATAAGTTTAGGAAAGCCTTTACTCTGGCTAGATGCGAGGCTTTCCCTTCTGCGGTGTTGGAAGGCAGATTTAAGAAAATCCCAAGGGAACAGAGATTCTGCCCTTGTGGCTCTGGTGAGATAGAATCTATCGAGCACATGATGCTCAGGTGTAACAGGCATAATACGATCCGAGGAAAATATATTACACCTCTCTTAAAAGATATGGCAGGCCAATCGGATTCGGACTACTGTAATCAATTGTTAACCGACCAAAATCAGACTACTACAGAACTGGTAGCGAAATTTTGGGCGGCATGCTATAGCAGACAGACTAGACAGCTAAACCCTTAGACCTTGGTCCTACATTGCTATATTTGCTGTTTTAGATATTTTACTTTCTGTATGTCTGGTATGGCTCTTTGTAGTGCATACCAGTCTTTGAAGTTTTGTATTCAATTTTGTATGGCGTGATGCCGTAACAATAAAGTATGTATGTATGCTGCACGGATAAACGTCGCTATGCAAGGCACCACTGTATCTCCTAGGATATGGTTCCTGGGTTTATTAGGTCCTTTCGGTGTAAAGCAGTAAGCAGTATCATACAATATGAGATTACCATGATATCAGAACTTAGCAGCACTAATATAATAATTATTTCATTTCACTTCTGTTACTACTTCAGACGTCAGATTACATTATCTGTAATAAATGTGTTAAGCAGCAGCTACAGCTAGGTGCCAGCTTCAGTGCAATAAAAATAGTCTATTTATTAATAAAACCTTCACATCTAAGTATGTAAAAGAACTGTTTGCATCCATACAGTGGTACTTGCCTACCTCCAGTTTGTCTGTCCTGAGGAGTTTCTGTGTCGCGGCTGATCCAGGGACTGTGACTGGGGGGCTTCCAGGAACAAGAACAGGTGGCGTGGGGACAATTTCAGTGGGAACTAATCCAACCCCAGGGGTGACATGTGTTAAATATGGTGCAAAGCTCAGTGCTGTGTTGGATCCTATTGTTGGCCCTACAGGAAATGAGGGCTGAGAAAGGAGAATAGAAAGAGACGAAAAACATGTTAATCTTATAGGCAAACACAGTACTATAATTAAATCAGCAAAGTTAACTTGTTTAAATTGGCTGCAGTTTGTGTTCAAGAATCTCATTTTTCAGGATGAACCACAATACCTCGGGCCAACCTCTATCGAGATTCTCTTCCACTACAGGAAGTTTTGAAGACAAGCATTTCTCTTCTTATAAATCTAGCCAGGGCTGGTGTGCTCTGGCTCTGCAGCATTGTAACACACATTCTGGACAAACACAAATATGGCCTGCATCATACAGGTAAGGCAGTTTGCACACAATGAATTGTGACAACAGTAGACACGGCACGATGGTGGTCTCCTTGCTATTTGAGTATGCTGCCAGAGAGACTGTTTATAGCACTGGTTCTTAACCTTGGGTTACTCAGGAGTTTTGGACTGCAACTCCCAGAAGCCTTCACCACCAACTGTGCTGGCTGGGGTTTCTGGGAGTTGCAGTTCAAAAACACATGAGTAACAAAGGTTAAAAACCACTGGTTTATAGCTTCTTGATCATGACATTCACTGCATTTGTCAAGATGGAGAGAATATGGTTCTGTTACTACTTCAGATGTCAGATTACAGTATCTGCAATAAATGTGTTAAGAAGCAGCTACAGCTAGGTGCCAGCTTCAGTGCAATAAAAATAGTCTATTTATTAATAAGGACCAAAGCAGCACAAGAGAACTGAGAGTTTATGCCACCAGAACAAGTTACCAGAGAAGAATGACAACATGAAGCCAACATGTTTAATTGTGGTCTGCAATGACTGGTCCTAAGGCAGTTGGAAGAAGGTGTTAAATCGGGGGTGGGCAAAGTGCAGCTCAGGGGCCACATGCAGCCCTCTAAGGCTCTTTTTGCAGCTCCTAGACTCAAAGTGCAGTTCCTCTAGGGACAGTGATCCTTTTAAATAGCTTTTGCGCACGCGCGCATGCACACAAACACACACACACAATATAACCAGTTTTCAATAGTGGAAGTGGCCTTTCACCCAATTTTCAGGAAAGGTTATGCTTTGGTACTTGATGTGGTCTCTTAGAGCAGTGGTCCTCAACCTTGGGCCTCCAGATGTTCTTGGACTACAACTCCCAGAAGCCTTCACCACAACCTCTGATGGCCAGGATTTCTGGGAGTTGAAGTCCAACAACATCCGGAGGCCCAAGGTTGGGGACCAGTGTCTTAGAGGATCCCAGGCACAAAGAGCTGGCTCCCTAACCCACCACAACTGCCAATTTCTAAATTAGGTATGTGTGCAAGATATTAGGGGTCACAGTGCAAAATGATGGGCATTCCATTATTTCACTGATCAGTTCTTTAAAGAAGCCATACCCAACCTTTATTTGTCACAGCCATAAACACAGCATGAAAGAAATATAGGCCGAATAGGTCTTTATATAAATCATATAATAAAACTTATAAGATGGTGTGTGAAGAATTGTTTTCAGTCTGTGCCTCCCTTCAAATGTGCCAGGGTCCCCCAAATAGCCGTATGCCCACCGCTGACAATGGCTGCCTTAAAGAAACCGCTCCAAGCAATCACTGCTGTAGAAGATAATGTAGATGAGACAGTGTTTATTAAAAACTTTGGCCTTAAGAGAAGAATAAAGCAGATCCAAACACATTGAAAAATAAAGAGGTCAAAGATGAAATGGCTACTTATGATCTAGGCTTTCAAATCAAGTTCGGTTTATTGCACAGTACACTGCCCTTTGCAGAACATACAATATAAAATCAACACAGTACCATACAATATAAAGGAAATTAAATAAAATTTCCAATCAAACTTACTAGTTCTAGAATTTAAGTTACAACTACATATCTAAGCATAAACATTAATCCAATTAGTAGACATAACTATAAAACAATGAATCATTAACAACAACAGAAACAATCACAAAGGAGTGTTGAATGGCAATACTCTAGCTGTGAATTTGGTTCATAGTTGAGGGTACGGATTTTGTTTTTATAAGAATGGAAATTAATCTTGCCATTCAAAATATAACAAACCTATCCATATCTTGATCAGATCTTTCTGGGTACTATTCTAAAATAAATCTCATGAGTCTTGCACACTCTGCTACAAACAGGGGACTGTAACGTATGACGTGCTAAATTCTCAACTGATTTTTGGTCATAGGAACAAACTCCATCATATGAAATGCCTTTGTATCAGCCTTCTAGGACAGAAGTGGCAGCATATCTAGGCAAGCCTTAGTGAAGGCTTTTCTGTAATCAATACTAATAAGATAGACAAAATAGGATGGAAAGGTAGAGGAGGGGAGATCACTTTGTAAAAGGGTGCAATACTTGAGGTGTCCAGTGAAGCTAAAACTGTTTGGACAAAGAAGTTAATATTCTCTGTTCTACCAAGAATTTCACTGTAGACAGTCCAAGATGCCTCACAAACAAAGATTTTCCAAGACCCAGGTGTCATATCCCCATAATCTGAAGGGGTGCAGAATAAAATTTTCAACCAATTAATTAATGACTGCTTTATAAGCTAAGCTATTGGTGCCAATTCAAGTCTAATTTGAGCTGTAGGGCTTGCTGTGGGGTGGGGGACTGCCAGCAGTAGCTGGGCAAACATATTTTGAGTGACTTCTAATGAGTGTAAATCCCCAAATTTCAGCTCCATACAGTTTCTGAGGTAGTAATTTTGTTTTGTAAATTTCACAAATTTACAAAATTTCCTCCCCCGGCTCTGTATACTGTACCAAATATGGCCTTTTCAAATTTCTGTTTGGCAAATTCAATCTAAAATGCCCAAAAGAGAAACATCACTTCTAGGTAGTATTTGAAGTGAAATATCTGTTCCAATGTTTTCACATCCAATGTCCACTTATGGAGGTGGGATCTTCTATTAAAATCATAATTTTGGTTTTGTCACAATCTACACTAAGATTCTTCTTACAATAAGTGCTGTATTGTTTCAGTAATCTTTTAAGTCCTATTTGAGTAAGGGATATTAACAAGATATCATCTGTATAAAGTAATATTGAAATGACTTTTCCACCTTTTCTTACTGGGAATGACCTAGACGTTTCCTGACTCAATCCTGCCTGGACTTTAAAATATACAGAAGATGCTTTTCCCTCAGTCCTGTCACCATCAGAGGTACGTTTGGTAAAAGCATGAGAGAAGGCTTTTTTAGTGGCCACTTCCAAACTATTGAACTCCCTGCCAAAGGAGGCTCAGTGGGCCACATCTCTGAGACCTTTCTGCCAGCACACAGCAAAACAGGAGTATATAAATAGCAAGGAAAAAAATATACAATAAAAAGTTAAATTTATCAAGAAAAATTGGATCATTCTAGAGAGACCGAGATGCCTCACATACACTTCTGAAAACCCCAGGTTGGCAACAAGATTCAGTACATAGAAAATAATCTGTGTTTATAAAAGCAATTTGGCCATGATCTGAAAAGCCACCAAGTTAAAGAATTGGGAAACGAGTGGCAGAACAATTACCTTTCCCCCCTGCCCTGGTCAAGTATGATGATCTAACACAGAGGAATGGAAGGAGAATTAACACTGCATATCTTTGTTGCTATCACTGTGATTAATAAATGGGAACCAAGCACTGAAAAACAGATGGTGTGATTCAGGGTTTTAAAACATCAAGTATTTGTGTAAAGTTCTCCATCAAGGCAGTGTTCCAAAGCACAGACTTCCAATGTTCTAGTGAGAGATTTTTTTGCTTTTTACCAATTTAGTCCAATTTCCAGTCTGAAACTAGATGTTCAACTCAGCTGACTTTTATCACCAATGAATAAAGTAAACTGATGGAAGGAGATATGTAATTTGTTCCCTTAGTGATCTTCTCCATCTCTTTAAAAACTTCTTCCCAAAAATGGCAGGGTCAGTGGGAAATTACACCACATACAGAAATAAGACCCGAGAACTCTACCATCTTTTCCAACACCTTGCATTTATTTCTGTAGCTGAGTTTTAAGCAGCACCCAGTGCCAGCAGTGTAGTAATTTAATGTACTTATGAATGCAAGAGGAAATTGAAGTCATGAGAGGTTTTTTCTTCTTCAGGAAGAAAACCACAAATCTTCAACTAATTCATAATTAGGATCCTTTTCCCAAACAGATTTCACCTCAGCGTATTCCTATATGAAGCCTCAAAAAACATTTGGTAAATGTTTGAAGTTAATTCCTCTATGGTCATCTTTAGATGGCACAATACGGTTTTCAAAGGCAACAGAAGGTAGATTACTTGAGCTTTAAGTATGAGGTATGAATTAAACGGATAATTTGCTTTATTTGAAATGACATACTGAAATCAGATAAAATGGTGAGCAGATTTGGGAGGACCAATTAATGAGTCTTTCAAATGATAAAAAAATCTTGCTTTGATAAACAACAAAAGGATGACATAAAAAGGGGGTTAATGAGAGACTGATATCCACTTCTGCCAAAAGTGCCATATTCAGAGAATACTGGGCAGGAATAGACTGCTACCACTGCTTAATTTAGAAAGTTCAGAAGATAGAAATGGAATATTCTGACTTCATCCACACAGCAATCCTTCCCCAGGAGAGTAAAGCAAGAGCCCATCTGAGAACTGTATATGAATTGAGCCATTTCCTTCAACTATGAATCAGCAGAAAGCAATTTTAGAATATATAAAGCTTCCCTGGCCTGACAATTGCTTTATGTTTAGGTGAGAAATAATTAACTGATGAACAAAAGAAGTCAGGTTCTGGGACTGATGTCTCTGTGTGAATGGCACAAGAGGGTATTCTGTAGACTCTAGGTTCTTAATCTGCAGTCCACAGACCTCTGGATGGGGGGCGGGGTACTATGTTCTCATAGAGGGTCCACAAAGGCTTGAAGAAATGTTATGATCTTTTGCTTTGTTGTTGTTGTTTAGTCGTTTAGTCATGTCCGACTCTTCGTGACCACATGGACCAGAGCACACCAGGCCCTCCTGTCTTCCACTGTCTCCCGGAGTTCAGTCATATTCATGTTGGTAGCTTCAATGACATTGTCCACCCATCTCATCCTCTGTTGTCCCCTTCTCCTCCTGCCTTCACACTTCCCTAACATCAGGGTCCAGGGAGTCTTCTCGTTTCATGAGATGGCCAAAGTATTGGACCCTCAGCTTCAGGATCTGTCCTTCCAGTGAGCACTCAGGCTTGATTTCCTTTAGAATGGATAGTTTTGTTCTCCTTGCAGTCCAGGGGGCTCTCAAGAGCCTCCTCCAGCACCACAATTCAAAAGCATCAATTATTTGGCGGTCAGCTTTCTTTATGGTCCAGCTCTCACTTCCGTACATCACTACAGGAAAAACCATAGCTTTGACTATTCGGACTTTTGTTGGCAAGGTGATGTCTCTGCTTTTAAAGATGCTGTCAAGGTTTGTCATCGCTTTCCTCCCTAGAAGCAGGTGTCTTTTAATTAACTAATAGCAAAAACCAGAAAACTGCAAACAAAAATGAAGAGTTGTCTGAGGAGGACACATCACTTATATGGCATTTGGAAGATTTGCATCATACATTTCATGAATATTTTCCTGTTCCTAATGCAAGCAAAAACTGGATTAGAGATCCATTTTCAGTTAATATGTATGAACTAGAGGGGCCCACAACAGCAGAGCAAGACAAGCTCATAGATCCACAGATGTGCTCTGAAATTTCCGTTGAAGGAATAGTCCCTTCCAAATTTCTGGGCTCACCAACAAGCAGTTTTTCCAGAACTATCAAAGAGGGGTATGAAAGTATGGATGACTTTCATAACGATAAACTTTATGAAAAATCATTCTCCATTCTCATTTAACTTAAAAATGAGTATAGAAACTTTGCAAAACATAGAGTCAAAATTCAGAGTACAAGTTTCAGTTATTAAGCCTGATATAACAAGGCTTGTAAGTGAAATGCAGCATCAGATTTGTCGTTAATTATAATTATATGAATACAATATGTTCCCTTTTTTCCACCAACTCGTGTTTAATGAGGTACAATTTTGTACGAATTATGTCATTATCTAGCTTTCAGTTTCATGTGACATTTTTGTATAGGTGTCTCCTATTAAAGATTTGTATGTGCTTGTGATTTCAATTTCTCCAGCAAGAATTAAAGACTACCATGATGGTGATGATGATTAAATACTCTTACAAATAAGCTTTTTAAATAGGAGAATGTAGTATTCTGTGGGTTGTTTTATTTGTGCATTTGGATATTGGTCTTCGACTGTATTAAAAAGCAAAGCAAAGCGTGGTGCTTATATACCGCCCCATAGCGCTTCAAGCACTCTCTGGGCGGTTTACAAGTTAAAAATGTGACCAGGCACAATCAAAATTATAAAAACATTGACTGATATTATATAACATATACATTAATCAAAAAACTGTTAAATATTGGTACAGTATGTATGCTGTTCCTAATATTGCCAAATTTTTTGTATCTCTAATGATGTCATTTCTGAGATCTGCAACTGCTCATTATGGTATGTGAAATTTCTTGATGTTTTTCCCAAAGCACCAATGGCTACAAGGACCACTAAAGTGTGTTTCATTCACAAGCAAGATGTTCTTGATTGTCAGATCTCTGCATTTTGTTAGTTTTCCCAAATATTTATTTTCGACTCTGGTATCCCTTGCAATTGCAATGTCAATGATCCAGACATTTCTTTGTTCTATTACTACTATGTCTGGTGTGTTATGTTCAAGGTGTCTATCAGTTCAGATCAAGAAATCGCACAAGATCTTGACTTCATAGTTTCTGACATCTTCTCTACCTGATGTTCCCATAAGTCATTCAATCTTTAATACATTCATTGACCAGAGTAATGAGCATGGGATACAAACATATGCCCATATATGCCCATTGCAAACTCGATTAAAGCTGTAACCCAAGTTGAACATCTATCTGAAAGTTAACAAGTAACCTTACATTGATTCTAATAAAACCGAAATATAAGAATCCAGGGGGCAGTGAATAGAAAAGAGGAGAAAGGAAAAGGATTCTACAGGGTTAAATAAGTATTGTGACTTTTAAAAGTTAGTGTATCTATAAATAAAAGGTACAATCATAAAATAATTCCAAGGAATTATAGGTATACACACACATATATAATGGCATTAATCCAACATTAAAAGACATTAAATTAAATATAAATACTAGTTTATGATGCCAGTCATCACCCAGTGAATTTTAATCGCTGCTGCACAGAACCTAGCAACATTATATGTTGTAACAGAGTTAATAACTGATAGCAACAAGGAGGTATAACTGTTCCCATCAGTTTCTGGAGGGTGGCAAGTTATATTTTTTGCATAATGACCAGTAGACTAATTGTGTCACTCTATCATGTCTAATTTTATAATCTGTGCAATCTTTGGACATATGCAGAGGAAGGGTGAAGAAAAGATGATATTTCATCTTTTTCGTGGCAGAGCTGACACTGCTGTTAGCACTAACTCCTTGTATCTTAGCTTTCATCACATTAGTTTGGAGTGCTTGCTCTTGTGCAGCAAAAATCAAGCCTTCAGTTTCTTTCTTACGGGTCCCCAGTTTTAGCCATGCCCATATTTAATTAGGATCAAGCTTTCCATCAGTATTTCTCAGGTGTTGTCCATGTAATGGCTTATTTTTCCAGCTGTCTAATTTATTTTCAAGTTGTTGTTTCTTATATTGAGCGTTTGTTTCTATTAATTTCAAATATTCTCAATTTTCACTGCCTTAAGTAATTTTCTCTGCTTGTACTGATATAATCATTTAGGCTTTTTTCCCCTCCTCCACTACCTACTGTATTTGCAGTAATCCATGGCCTCTGATTTTTCTTGATAAATATAATCCGTCCCCATCACTTTTTGGATGTAGTGTGTGATGCATGTTCATTAGTTTCCATGTTTTTTGATCCATGTTCACTCTTCCTTTATCTTTATAAAGGACCAAGTGTGGCTTACATAATTAAAAACACAATATTAAAAACTAAAAACATTAAACTATTCAAATATTAAAAACAATCAAACATTATATTAAAATGATAGGTAAAAAGCATTACTAAAAGAAATCTGAAAGCAACAAAAATATGAACCATCCAGTTTAAAAACCTCTCCTAGACAGTCAGTCACTAAGGAAAAGCCTCCCTGAAGAGAAAGGTCTTTGCCTACTTGTAGAAGGACAGCAAAGAAGGGGCCAACCTGGCCTCCCGTGGGAGGTAGTTCCAGAGTCTGGGAGCAGAGAAGGGCCTCTCCCCTTTGTCCCCATCAGAGACACCTGTGAAGGTGGCAGGACCAAGAGAAAGGCCTCTCCTGATGATCTTAACATCTGAGCTGGCTCATAATGGGAGATACGGTCTCTGAGATAGCTTGGACCCAATCTGTTTGGGGTCTGTGTGATTCACATATTCGGGTATTGCACTTGCACTGAGCAGCAGATGGAATGTTCTTGAACGACACAACTTTTTTCCACACCACACACACTGCACATCCTCAGATCGCCTCCAAGGATCCTCCCTCAGTTCCTTCCTTTCCACCATGATAGCAGCAGCTTGGAGAGGAAACTTTTGAGGAAATTGTTTTTCACACTGTGTTTTTCAGTATTTTAGTATTGTAGTTTTTCAGTATTTTATTTACTATTTCTTTCTATTTTCTTCTTCAAGTTCTTTGTTAAAATCAGAGAGAAAGGAAAGAAAATGAGGTTGCCATCAAGGCTCCTCTGGTTTCTTTTTTCAAGCACAGTCATTATCTCCCTCCACGAGGCTGGGGACACAAATTTGTCCCCAACCCTGCCCCCAAGTTTAACACCTAGTTTAAAGCAACAATTAGGCATTGAAGTATCTAAATTTTGTTTTCCTTTGAGGAAGGAATCAGCATTTCAAAAATAAATATGTAGTCTGAGTAGTACACACATTTAATAAAGAAAGTACAGTGGTGCCTCGCTTAAGTTAATTTCTTCCAGCGAAATCGCTGTAGAGCGAAAACGTTGTAAAGTGAAAATAAAAAACCCATTGAAGTGCATTAAAACCCAGTTAATGCGTTCCAGTGGGCTAAAAACTCACCGTCCAGCAAAGATCCTCCATACGGTGGCCATTTTTGGTGCCTGTATAGTGAGGAATCCATCCCTAAGCACAGCGGGGTGCCATTTTGAGCACCCGGCAGCCATTTTGAAAATTCGACGATCAACTGTTTTGATCGTCGTAATGAGAAAATCGGTTCCCGAAGCAGGGAACCAGTCTTTGCAAAGTGAAAAAAACACACATTTAAAACATCGTTTTGCGATCGCAATTGCGATTGCAAAAACATCGTCGTGAAGCAGATTCATCGTAATGTGGGGTAATCTTTAAGCGGGGCACGACTGTAATCACATGCATCTGAAATTGCAATGACAAAAATGATAAAGGGTGAATAACAGTGATGCTAAGTAAAAAGCTGTGTATTTCTTCCTTAATCAGCCTCTGCATGTTTGCTGGGTCAATTTCAGATTTCGACATTACAGGCTAAACATTCAGAACACAAATGTTCGAGAATAAGAGCAATATAATAAATCACCAATATCATATGCTTAATCAAGAAAGCAGGCAATAATAAATTTTGTACAGAACATATTTATATATTATACTGTTGTATGGACATTTTCCCTTGTAATCCTATTCATGAACAAACTGTCTAGTCCAGAAACTGAAACACAATCAACACAAGTTTCAGATGTTTATATATTAACAGATGCATCTGTTGTTTTATTTTTATTTTTACATTTACACTGTACAAAAAAGTAAACAAAATTTAAAATATTCAGAACACTTCTCAACAGCAACATTTTAATATAAGATTTAAGCAGAAAAAATGCTCAATGAAATGCTCAAAATACATAGTACCTCCTATTTATCATGTTGGCAGGAAGTGGCTTATAAAATCAACACAGGTCGTCTGTCATTTTGCTAGCGGTACTTACCACTGGCTGAAGGGGTGTTCCTGGGAACATAAACTGCATCTGCTGGGCAAGCATTGCTGCTGCAGTCTTCTGTTGGATCAGGTTGTTCCTACCATTAATTTCTAGCTGGGTTTTCAAATGTGTTGGTGGATGAAGATATTTGCAGTTTTCCCTTGTGCAACGGCCCTAAAAAAATTGGTAACATTAGCCATTTCTCAAGATTTTACAATCACTTTGTCTTACAGAGAAAAATATTACTCCACCTAAAATGTACATGCAGTAGCTTACTGTTGAGTGCAAATTAATTTATAGTCTGGACAGTACTGCATTGTTTGGTATTTATCCAGAGCACTGCATCTCTTCTCCAATCGTATTAAACATCCTATTAAAATCAGTGCAATTTGCTTCATATCATCACTGTTAACACACGCGTATTTTATTTAGTACTGTCATAATATCTGCCTTACATTGAATCTCACACGTTCCTTTTAAAATGGAGAGGAATAGGGAAATTGAAAGCATACGGTTGGCATTTAGCCATCCCTGCCAGCTTCAACATGGAGATTAGAAAGGTTATTTTTTGCACCATATCGTAACTCCCCAGACCTACCAGTCTCATGACCAGTAGCCATGCTGAGGGAATCTGTGAGCTATAGTAACAAAAAGTAATTTTCAATGAATGAGTCCTTTTGAGAGCCAAATTGTATTTCCACAGCTTCTTCCAAGGTTTTAAAACGTGGAGATATCAAAAGCTACCATTAAATAAGATCCTTCTCATTTTATTTCTCATAGCGCAATCTGCCCACCATAGAATACAGCTCAGAAAGATTGTGGTCTTTTAATACCACACCAAGTACAGTATGCAGATTATACCAGTCATTCAGTACTCGGTGTATGTGGAGGAAACAACAATTGAAGTTGGGGGGGGCTGCATTTTGGAATATATGGTGCCCATGGGCCAGCATTAATTTTGTGTCAGAAAAGGGCTGCTAAACTATTACAGGCTTCTGTAGGCTGAAAGGACAAGGAGACCAATTCCCACCAAGCAAGCAGAACTGATCATTTTAAACTGCCAAAAGAGAAGAGAGAGTGAGAAGGCAGGGAATATACTGTACATACAGTGGTGCCTCAACTTACGAACTTAATTGGTTCAGGAACATGGCCGTAACTCGAAATGTTCATAAGCAGGGGCATTTGTAAGTTGAGGTACCATTGTATATAATTTATCTCAAATGTACTTTAAGCTTTCTGTCCCCTAGGACATTTTATATCTTAGTCACAGGCAAGCAAGGAGGAAGAGATTTTAAGAGATTTCGAAATCTTCAGGTGCCATGGTAAATGGAAGATACATGCAGAATGGTCAACCTTTGCTTTGTGCTAAAAGCCAGGACCTAAACTATCTTCATGGGCTTTTAAAGTCACAAAACTGTTTGGATAGTTAATCCTTTGAATCCAAGCCCTACATGTCAATTCTGTTTTTTCTTTCTCCTTCAAAAAACACCAAAATGGAAGTGAAAGGCCACTAGAGATGACAGTCATGGCCAAGAATATTGGCACCTTTGCAATTCTGTCAGAAAATGCAACCCTTCTCTCAGAAAATCATTTCTTTTTCTGTAAACAATGCCATGATGTCCTTGACCAAAAAGCTCTACTTTTGTCTCATCTGTCCACAGTACTTTCTCCCAGAAGGATTGTGGTTTTGTCACATAAGTTTTGGCATACTTTGGTCTTGCTTTTTTATGCCTTTGTCTCAGCAGGGGTGTCCTCCTGGATCGCCTACCATAGTGTCCCTTTTCATTCAGATGGCGATGGATAGTGGGAGCTGACACTGTTGTACCCTGTATCTGCAGATCAGCTTCGATTTGTTGGGAAATTAATCTGGGTTCTGTATCCACCATTCAAATAACCCTTCATTGTAATTTTTCAATAATTTTACTCTTCTGTCCACATTCATGGTGGCTAGCTACAGTGCCATTGGCTGTAAATTGCGCACAGTGGACACAGGAACATTAAGATCTCTGGACTTGTAGCCTTGAGATTGTCAATGTTTTTCCACCATTTTTTCTCTCAAATTCACAGACAACTCTTTACACTTCATTCTTTTCTCTATGCTCAGCGTCACACACAACACAAAGGTTGAGTCAACTTTTCTCCACCTGAACTGGTTGCAAGTGAGATTACTATACTGCCTGCACCTCTTACCTGAGACAGGTGTGTCTAAATACAAATTAAAGGAGCATCAGAGGCTTGAATTATTTCTTACAATTTAGACAGGGTGCCAATAATTGTTGTCAGTGCATTTTTGGGTTTCTGTGTAGGATTGTACCAGATTTGACTTTTCTTCTCTGTTTGTGTTGTTCCAATGCAAACCAAAGAAATGAACATGTGAGTACCAAAACATTTGCAACTGCAATGATTTTCTGAGAGAAGGGTTGCATTTTCTGACAGAATTGCAAGGGTGCCAATATTTTTGGCCATGACTGTAAGTACTAATTAATAAATATCACCTAGTGTAAATATCACAGTTTAAAGACTAATGCTTGATATCATACTTATAGATTTCTAATACTGAATTAAAATGCATATTAATTGGTTGCTCCAACATTAATAATATCACTTTGCCATTGAATAGAGTCTTTATATTACTTAGGAACATATAGCCTTTATGGCCTTTGTGCAATAATATTTTAATCTGCTTGGAGATGGAAAGCGATTGTAAAATGACAAATACCGGTACATTGTTTCAGTATTTTATTCACATCTTGACAGCACATTATTATTATTATTATTATTGGTTGGTTTCTGATGTCCATGAGCATTGTCTTGAAGAAGACTGCTCAGAACTTTTCAAATGCAAAAGCTGGTAGTTACTGAAGAAAATAGTGCTTCTCCAGAAGATAAAGGATGCCTACAATATGACAATCTAAATCAAGGATACTTGATATGTGGCCAGCCCTCCACAGGCTAGATAGAAACTCAATCCTAGCTAGCTAATGGCAAGTGATTAAGGGAGTGGCAAGCAAGAATATCTGGAGAGTCAAATGCTTCTCACTTGTAACCTAAATATTCATAAAACATAAGTACAACATGTATCTAGTAGAAGAGGTAGCGCTGGCTGGATTGCTCAGTGAGTTAGGTATCTGGCTGTAGAGCCAGAGGCTGAGAGTTCCATTCCCCACCGTGCCTCCAGAGAAAAAAAGGTAGCCTGTGTGGCCTTGGGCAAGCTGCACAGACCCAGGATGCCCCCAAAAGAAGGGAACGGTGAACCACTTCTGAGTACTCTCCACCTAGAAAACTGAAAAGGGTCACCACAAGTCAGAATTGACTTGACAGCACATTATTATTATTATTATTATTATTATTATTATTATTATTATTATTATTATTATTATTATTATTATTGGTTGGCTTCTGATGTCCATGAGCACAACTCAACCAACCTCTTCCATTCACTGAGGCATTTGTTGAATCGCAATTCGTTCCACAAACAAAAGAACAGGTTATATTCACAAATGTACAGTTCCAGATCTTCTTTATTATGGCTGAAGACTACTTCTCATGTGAGGGGACAGAAAATATCTGACATGAGGTCAGATATTATTTAAATATTTTTGTTCACTGGAAAAACAGCATTCTATCCTACATTATGTCCAAAAAAAACCCTGTTTTCTTTCTAAATATATTTCACGGTTAAGTATTAAGAGTACAGTACTACAGTCAGATGGTTGAGGGCTCCATTGCACTTGCCAAACAAATTCTGCTTACACCATTTTTGCCATTATTTTGATTGTCTGAAAATATTCCATTCATATGATGCACTGCTAACATTGATTCATTTGCCTTGGCAATCGGTTTATTTCCTCCTCTCCAGGAGGGTTTTTCTAAAAATGTACCGATCATGCATTGTTTTATTCCTTATTGTTTCAGTGTGTGTGAATGTTGCTGTCAGTTTATTTCCTTTGCGAAAGTGTCAGGTTTTTGGACACCGTGGCTCCTTCATGGCCACTGTGCTTGTACCTTTATTATTCTTATTATTTTTAAAGGGATATTAATAAATTGCTAGTAGACATGGCCGCCACCAAAAAACAACACGAATACATTGTTCAGAAGGAGAAAGCCTTCCCCCCTTCCTTGCGGTTGTAAGGAAGGAAAGGGGAAAGATTGCTTGAATAAAGAAAGGGATATTTCCTGAATTGCATTAATGGGGCCCCTATCTCTTTTTTTAAACCCTGCCTTTCACAATACTTTGAAAGTCATTTAAAACCCACTTCCTCCTCCTGACACTGTTCAAAAAGGGAAAAGAAAATGAAAGCCAAGAACAAGCAAAGAAAGGGATATTTCCTGCTTCAAATTGTAAAAGAAAAGCGAATTGCATTAATGGGGCCCCATCTCTTTTTTTAAGCCCTGCCTTTCACAATACTTTGAAAGTCATTTAAAACCCACTTCTTCCTCCTGACACTGTTCAAAAAGGGAAAAGAAAATGAAAGCCAAGAACAAGGAGATAAATACAGTGGTGCCTCGCTTGACGAGGATAATTTATTCTGTTCAAATCGCTGTTAAGTGAAATCCTCGTCAAGCGAAATTTAAAAACCCACTGAAATGCATTGAAAACCAGTTCAAAGTGTTCCAATGGGCGAAATACCTGCTCGTTTTGCGAAGATCCTCCATAGGGCGGCCATTTTCCGGTGCCTGTAAAGCGATGAATCCGTCCTAAAGCACAGTGGGGAGCCATTTTGCACAGTGGGTGGCCATTTTAGAGCCGCCAATCAACTGTTTTTAGATCATCGTCTAGCAAAAAATCGGTTCCCAAAGCAGGGAACCGATCATCATTAAGCGAATTTTCTCCATAGGAACATTGTTTTGCGATTACAATAGCAATTGAAAAAACTTCACCATAAAGCGGATTCGTCATTTAACGAGGCAATCGTTAAGCAAGGCACCACTGTATATTCAGGCAAATAAGAAAAAGGGGATGAATGAAGATAGGAGGGAAGGGAAAAGAGGAGGAGGAGAAGGTTTGTTCTGCTTAATCGATATATCACTTTTTAAATATTTTTTTAAAGCAAATAAGGAAAAGGGGATGAGTGAAGATAGGAGCGAAGGGAAAAGAGGAGGAGAAGGTTTGTTCTGCTTAATTGATATATCACTTTTTAAATATTTTTTTAAAAAAAGAACGAAGTGGGGGA